AATGAGGAGCATAATGGAAAATCTTGAAGGGGATTTGTTGTTTGTTTGAGTTAGCAAATTCTAGCACAAAGATGGCTGTCTGTCCTCAATCAGATTAAGTTAGCTTCTCTCAGAAAAAAAACTAAATTAACTGAGAAGATTGTGATGTCTGAATCATATGTAATTTTCTGTTGTTCACCAAAACCTTTTTATTAGCTTTTAAATTTCTGCTCAATTCCAGTAGTTACCTGCACTTTTTTAAATACAGGCTGGCAAAACTTTCGGAAGGTCAACTACTTGATGGGAGGCTAGAGTGCTTGTATCATGGTTGGCAATTTGAAGGTGATGGCAGGTGTGTGAAGATACCTCAGGTTGTTTTCATGTCTCCTCTTGTTTATTATATACTCTTATTGGACATACTGCAAGTTTGCTTCACATCCAATACTAATTCTCCATGTGCTTTTGTAACTTATATTTTGGACAGCTCCCTGCAAATGCAAGCATCCCACGATCAGCTTGTGCCAAGAAATACAAAGTAATAGATTCCCAAGGAGTTGTATGGGTATGGATGTCTCATAAAACACCACCAAAACCTGAAAAAATTCCTTGGTTTGAGAATTTTGCCAGACCTGGATTCAAGGATACCTCAACAATCCACGAGCTTCCATACGATCATTCTATTCTTTTAGAAAACCTTATGGATCCGGCCCATGTCCCAATCTCACATGACAGAACTGATTTTACTGCAAAAAGGGAAGATGCTACAGCATTATTTTTCAAGCTGACTGAAAGAACAGGTAGAGGCTTTGCAGGTTGGTGGGGAAGGGAAAGCGATCAGTCCACTCCGAACTATGTTCCAAATTTCTTGCGCTTTGAAGCACCTTGTGTTCTGCAAAACAACCGAGAAATCATTGACAAGAATGGGGAGACGCACTATTTTAGTGGGCTCTTTTTATGTCGACCATCCGGACAGGGGAAATCAATGCTCATTGTGAGGTTTGGGAGCACAAGAAAACTATCTGGACTGATGAAAATAATTCCTCAGTGGTTCCTGCATCAGAATTCCAGTAAGGTTTTTGAGCAAGATATGGGATTTCTTTCCTCACAGAATGAGTTTCTGATGAAAACAAAGGTCCCAACAAAGGTGTTGTATTTGAATTTAAAGTCCTCAGATGTTTGGGTAGCTGAGTACAGGAGGTGGATGGACAGAGTTGGACATGGGATGCCTTACTATATTGGGTACAGCACCATTTCACTGCCTAAAGTGCCTGCAGTCATAGAGCAAGCTCCAGCGGGGTTTGTCGCTAACCTTTCCGCTTCTCAGCCAGCCAAGGGAGGAATTGGAACAATGCATGCACCAAATTTCGCCAATAGATATTTCCGCCATGTAATCCATTGCCCGGACTGCAGAACCACTGTCAAAGCTTTCGAGGCATGGAAAAATGCACTTTCTGCTGTTGCTCTTGTATCAACTGCATTAGCCATTCTTGCGTCTGGAAAACAGTGGAAGGCTCTCCTTTTGTTTTCCACATCCCTTTGCCTGGTTGGAATCTATGCCTGCTCAACAGTAATTGCCATGAACACAACAAACTTCGTAAGGACACACAGAAGAGCGTGAAGTAAAAATTGCCCTTTTTGTGCTCAATCTAAGTTTTGTTCTTTTGGTTCATTTCTTTTTTCATTTACTTCAAGAGAAGCTCATACTCTATGGATGCTGGCATTGGATAGCCCTTAGGTGCAGCACATCTCTGTCAATGCATATATTAAGTTTCAAATTCAATTGTACATAATGTAAAAAGTTGAGAGGTTGATATGCTACCGTCGCTATGAAAAATTCTGGTGTAGGACAACTCTTGCATTAATTACACTGGGAATATGGTTCATATTAACACATCCTTGAACAATTGTATCATAAATGTTTAATAAAAATTTTACCTGGCCAATATATCATCTTTGATTCTGACTCTTGAATTGTCTAATTATAAGGATATAGAATAAAATTTTTCCTTATAATTTCATAGATTGAAAATTGCATGAAATTAATGAGAATATAATTGATTGGTAACTTACTAATTTACAAATTACAAGGAAAATATATATATATATATATATATATATATATATATATATATATATGTATATGTATATACTTTTGTTCGTAAGTTAGAGAATGGACATCTTATATTTTTTGTTAGGATAAATTATGACAAATAGAAGATATATAAATTAATGTAGAATCTGAATATGTAAAAAATAGAAGTAGAACATAAATTTAATTAAAACTTGTTTCTTTGATGAATACAAATTTTGGAAGAGGAAACTAATGGATAAAGAAATTTTTTATTTTTTTAACAATAAGAATTTTAAAAAATTGAAAAAAAAAAAAGAAAACAAAGAAGAAAACGAAAAAAAAATTAACATAATAGAGGAGCAATTTTGTCTTTGAGGTGATTAAGTGTGAAAAAATAAAGTTTAGGGAATAAATTGCAAATGTAACTATACCTTAGAGAGAGTTTTGTGGATAACGCTAACTAAAATATCCATATAACTTCTTGGATTAATTGCACTTTTACACCCATGAACTTTCTCAAGATTGCAAATCACCCCCTCAACTTTTAACCAAGAGACATGCTAGCTCATGGTTTCAATTTTTTTTTGCATACTTTTAAAATCAGATAAAAAATCCAATTAATTTCTTCGATTGTTCAAGCATACTTTTACACGAGGAAAAACGTCAAGAGCTGTGCTATTAGCAAATAAGAGTGTGCTACTAATATCTTTTTTCATTCAATGTATATTATTCTTTAGTAAACTATTTTCCTTTTATGTTCAATTATGGCAAAATTAGTCAAGCAAAATCTTTATTACCATACCTGAGAAATCTCAAAAAAAAAGTATGCTTACGTTTTCTTTTTAGAGGAAATGACTGTGTTGATTGCATTTGCGACAAAGAGGGGAGAGTGACCAAGTTGATTCCTCCTCCTTTATTTTTTTTTTGAGGTGAATGGGGCACTTTAATACGCTTTTAGTCCATAAGAATCAAGAACTTGAAAAACATTGAGAATTGCTTGGGCTTGTGACTGTTATTGTAAACATCTAGCAGTAACTATTGGTTGTTTTGGATCGAATATACACCCTTAAACTATTTATTAATTTGCAAAATATCATGCAATATTAGTAGCAATTCAAGAACCCTTCTATTGTGAATTCTTAACACATCACTCAAGTTAGTTTAAAAATATCAAGTTTTGGCACCTATATTTAAGGGATCAAATCTTTGCTGGTTTAAAATTGCGGTCGTATAAATATGGTACTGATACATTTTAGTAGTCACGTGCTTGTACTTTGAATTCCTAGCTGCAACTACGCGAGTTTTTTTACCCCTAATCACGGGGCACAAATATATCAAAGCGACCGGTTTAGATCGTGATTTATGCGTATGAGAATCTCATCCCATTTTCAAAGAGAAGCCTTTTAATGACCTTAAATGGATTGCTGAGTTGCGAAAACATCTGCATGCATTTTTGTATTCCATGTAGTAAATAGAAGTGCTGATGTTATCCTATTGCAGTGCAAATTAGGCGGGTTGGGATATTACTGCGCGAGTCAAAGATGAGTTTTGCTGATTGGACTTATAACCCAATCCGCCCAACTATTTCATGCGTTAATTTGGATTGGGTTTAATACTTTAATTAGGTTAAGTCAAACACAAAAATCCAATTATGACTCAATGTATTTTCTCGTACACTTTTAAATATTCACATTTTTATTATCACATACATGCATTTTCACACACTTTCATGTGTTATTTTGGGTTCGGTTTAATTGGGTCAGATCAAACCCAAAAAAGTCAATTATAACTCAATATATTTTCTCATCCACTTTTAAATATTCACACTTTTATTATTGTATACACTCATTGTCACACACTTTCACTTAATAAATTATTTGGAAACTATTTTTTATAGATTCTCTCTCTCACACACACACATGCACTAACACACTCATACGCGCAGTTTTCAAACAATTTCACTGGGAAAAATACTTGCAAAATTTTTCCCTGCATATTTTCACATTCACACACACATTCAACTCTTTCTTGCATATTTTTGCACTCTCTCTCAACCTAGGAATTTTTTTTATTAAAGAAAAAAATTATAAAAGAATAATTTATTCATCTTTTCCTCTCAAAACAGTACATTTTCATCTTGGCTCCGTATAATTGAAGAAATTAGTATTGACAGTTAATTTTCCAATCAATTAAAATTTGTCATGAATAATTGACAAAGCTCAAAATGAGGTGTCAATGCCAATGGGATTATAGAGGAGTATTTATAGGTTAAGTTAATGTTACTTTCGTATGTTGTACATTGTGCTTCAATTGTAGTACTTCAGCAAACTAATCAGTTAGTTAGTGCACCCTTAGACACTTTGATTCGACTGAAACAGGATGTGTAGTTCAAAGTGAAAACAAGGCTGAATACACAAGTCAGTAAAGCAAGAGCACATCGAGATTTAATTGCCATTGAACTTTTAGGAAAGCCTAGTGTTACATCAAGTAGAAAACTCAAACTCAAGAAAGCGTGCAGAATATTGGGGGGTAAAAGCCAGAATTTAGTGAAGACAATAAATAGTACGGCAATGGCGGTGATTAAGTAGAGGAGTGGCCGGAGACTTGAAAAAGAAGCGGCGCTTTCCCTTGTCTTCATATTTGTAAATAAACATAAATTGGGTACTGAATATCCAAGAAAAAAATCCACCCTATCCATTGAACAAGTTGGGTTTACTCTACTCAATCCATCAAAATTAAATCATCCAAATGACCCTACCCAACCTTTAAATTAAATGGATAGTTTGGATTGGTTGTTAAGAGTTTTGGACTTAATTGCCGGCCCTAATTACGAAGAACAAGTTTTTATTGTTCCTCCGCAGCAAAGCTCAACTCTTCAATTATGCCACATATTCGTGAATTTGAACCCTCGTGTGAGCATCTTGCATTTAACTCAGCATAAACCAAAAGCAAAAAAGATAGAAAATTTTTTCTTAAAACGAGAATATTAAATTACAAAGCCAGTTTTTCACTCTAAAGTCAGACAAGACAAAAGCTTCCTATCTTATTGTTGGAGGCTCATCAAATTTAGCTCATTATAGTTTTGAGAGGCTCATCCTCTATGCTGGACCTTTCAAGGATGATTTGTCAGGGAGACTGCTCAGAAAGTTTACGATCTTCAGCACGATGATCCTCAACTTTCTTATCATCTCACCAAGTTGTCACCAGTATTTTGGCATCTAATAATTATGCCGTATCCAGCAACTGCAACACTATTTACCTAGAGTTCTTAGGCACGTTCATTTCGGTAGAGAAGAGGTAAGTATCGACTGCACCTTACTGACCAGCATTGCTATCAAGACCTTGATTCTGCAGTGACATCAAGCGAACACAGGAAGCTAATTAAACCGAAACAAACACAATGCTGAAATTTAGTGTAAAGTAGACAAAAACATCATGAGAATTAAAATTTTTCTGATCATGCTTCGTTGAGGTTCCTGTTATGCTGCTTTCATGTTTATCATATGGGCCATTCATGCTGCCGAACAGACCTTTTCCACACTGAGTTTTCCCAATGATACCACCAGTTTGGAAAAGAAACAAGAATCAGTTGAAAATTACTTAATGATGCAAATGGCAGTCAATGCTAACTTTTCATTTACTCCACTTTGCTCAACTCATTCCTGCCATAAGCCATGTGAATGATAAAAATGCATCAGAGAATGAACTTTCGTTAACTTTGTACCTGAAGATAACATTCGTCCTTGCTAAAAATTATTGTTAGATCACTGCCAATTTTCAACCATTTGATTCTTTGAAAGGCACCAAGATATGTTACAATGGTGGACAGGTTGAATTTGTGAATGAGAAGGATATCAGCAACACCAAATCATATGAAGAGATTACACTACTCTAATCTTAGTTACCTGTTGTAATGTCAAACTGATAAGTTTGCACATGCATCCACAGATATACATCTGCCACAAATGATGCTAGGATTGGTCCAATTCTACTTCTGTCAAAAGACATCATAGAACACTTAATTGAGTTGGGAAGCATTCTGATCAACAACAGTGTTCTTGACTTTATAGGGGGCAAATATGCAAGAAAATCTAAATGCGCTAAATCTATTATCCTCAATTCCTTAAACTGTAGTAGATTGTATGTCTGATCCAAAAATCTAATACATCATCAATCTATCAAGATGAATCCTTAAAATAGATTATGTAGGTTCGTATTGTAGATTACAGCAACAAGTTTAATTTAGACATCAACATTATTAATATGAACAAATAACCTTTAAGACTCCTATTACAGGCAGAGATAAGAGGTGTTTGGAATGACATCAGAGATTTCTGTCATATTATATGCACCATCACATGCAAAGTTTTCTTCATGCAAGCATGATCATATTTTGCTATATACCATTTCTACCATTGCCATATATACACTGGGAGCAAAAATGTAAACCCACTTGCACAATAATTCCACTAGCAGCGTTAAAGACACAAGTGTCCATAAGCTGAATGGACATGTCTTATACTTTCTGACAAGGATCAGATACTTGATACAAATGTTCTACTCATCAAGAAGAGGTTTTGGCATCCCTAATCAACAGACTAGTCCAAAGAAGGGCTTAATTTTAAGTCACAAAGAACACAACCAGCTTGATAGTTGGACTCGTTCAAAATTGCAATTGCTGAATCACTTGATGCCTAATAAAGCCTCAATGATCAATTGTCTTCATTAAATTCATCCCACAAATGATAGTCCTCAATGTAATTTTTCAGTCTAAGCTAAAAGGAGGACCAAACTTCAATAGCTCAATAGCTCAAGTTTTATCAATATAACTTGTAAGCCTTATTTAGACACATAAATCTAAGGAAACATTCTAGGGTACACACTCTATTTTATTAGCAAAATGAAGGAAATGCAAAAGTCTTGATTGAGAAAGGTCTCTGCTCTATATATTCTTCAACAGTTTGGTTCTATATAAAAACCATTGCTTGAACGTTCCTATAACACTAAATCCTACAACTGCACCATTAATTATGGAATCTGGCCACAACTTATAGGACTAATGCGACAGAAGTCTTTATGCCAGTATAATTAGTTTTTAAAAAGGAAAAGTAGTGGTATTTTTCTATTAATCAAATACGTATAAACAGTAGAGGAGATTATTCAATGACAACCTTAGGACTCATCAGGAATTATTTGAGTAGAACTTATTGTCCCTGAAAGTATTATATTGAGAATAACTGATCGTCAAACCTTTTAAAACAGGACATGTCGGTGATACCTTTTAGTACAATTATCACATAAAAGAAGAAAACTATCACAATCATTTATATGGGGAAGATTAGTAGTTTGCTGGATTTTCCTGTTTGTTTAATAGGTCCTTTGTACGTTTCTGCGCACAAGTCAGTAAATCTGGTTATAATTAAAACTTAACTAGCATAAAATGCTAGTGTTTCAACATAGTAAGGTCTATAAACAATGCCATTATCCAGGGACAAAGATACGCGAAGGTGATAATTGAAGAGGGTTATCTCAATACCATGGCCACTTAAAACATGATTTTATTTAAAAAGTTGAGGGTGCTACTTGACTGAGTTTCCAACACCGTTACAGAGATAGAAGTTGAGTGTCACATAATAAGAATGACCAATGTGCATCATCTACAAAAAAAATAAAAATAAAAATAAAAATATTCATTTCTCCCTATGGCTCTTTATCAAATAATCCTATCATAGAACAATCAGGTAGCATAAAAACTTTTTCAAGACTGCGTACTGATTCAAGTTCATACAATAAAGGAAGGGAAAACAAAAAAAGAGAACAGGAGGGAACTACATACCAGTTCATCAGCTAGCTTACTAAGAGCATCATAGTTAATTCTGGAACTCGGCCTCTATAAAACAATTAAAAGTCTGTCTTAACACTTGGGCAAAATAACTGACAAGATAAACACAATCCATAAAGCGACCCTGAAATAAAGGCTCTTTAGCTTTCATTAATTCAACAGTGCAGATTAATTCAAGTTAAATAGATATCACAGAAACACTTCTGTAGAAACAGGTTAATTACCTTTTTCTCTATTTTAGGAGTGGCTTTTGCAGCTTTATCAACAGAAGTACTTCTTTTGAGTTCTGCCTTCAGTTTTGGTTTCTTAGCCTAATTTGAACAGCACAGGAACAAGGGGCCTTAAAGATCAAAATTTATAGAAAGAAAAAGTTTGAAAACTAAGAAACCGCAAAAAATCACCAGGGTGAGAAATGGGACACATATTACATGACAAAAATCCAACATGGCAAGGTGATTTTATTGCACAGAAAGGTAGAATACAACAATTTTAAGAAACTGGTAGCTGCTCATTTTTTATGCCAAGGTTACCAGGTCTTCTTGTTTGATAAACATAACAAGAGTAAATAAATAAAAAAGGAACTACCTTTGAAAATCCTCTATCCATTGCTTCCCACAAGATCCTCTTATAACGCATCTCATGCTTGGTGTTAAGATATCCAATGACCTAAATACAATCCAAATATTTGACCAAAAAAATAAATACAATCCAAATATGAGTTCCAAATCATATAATTGAAAACAAAACTAAACAGAAATGTCTAAACAACATATCACTAACAAACTTCAAGAAGGAAATCCATCCACAACTTGACTTAGTTAGACGTGACAAACTGTTAGACCCAAATTGATGCAGTACTGTTATGTGAATGAGCACAGTTTTAAGTGTCAATGGCATTTAGAATAAGAAGAGTAGCAGTTCAAGAAATACTCGGAATATCTAACTATATATAAAGCTTGAAGAAGGGGCATGGACTAAACCTTTTGGGTCACGCTTTCATTTGCCAAAATTACCCTAAATGCATTAGACGTCTAACAGAAGCTAAGTAAAAATTTAGAAAAAACGGATGCTAATTATCTTTTGGAGAAAATCAAGTAAAAGCTGTCATTCAGGTACTTAAGTTAGATTAGTACAACTCCTTTGGATTTAAAACTGACTAAGTAATTCTTTTATGTGTAAGGTGTGGTCCAAGGAGTATTTGATGCAAGTGGAGTTACTTTTGACACTAAATGTCTCAGAATAAGAAATTTTCCTTTTAAGAATGTCAGAGTGCGCATTTTTTGCCACTTCTGACTTAACAAGAATAATAAAAGCATAAATTGTTTATCTTACCCAATCCATAAAAACTTTCAAATAGACGGAAAACCTGTTAAATTCCATCCGAGTCACTTGTATGACTAAATACAAGATTGAAAGCACTTGATGGAGTAAACTCTGGACTAGTACTCATCAGAGACAAATGATATAACTCCAAAAGAGACAATTCAAAATGACTTGACAAGAAAAGTCCCACAGAAGTAGCCAATCCAGTAGTCTGGTAAGCTTTGAAAATTGACTCGGGCTCTTGTCAGAGAATTAACAGTCGCAAGAACAAATCTCATGTATCTTCATGCAGAGGATTCAAAAACATACCTCAGCATCATCAATTTCAGAAAGACTTTCTGATTCATGAATGTCTGTAGCACTACTGTTGCCACCATTATGCACGTGTGAATGGCCAGAATTTCCCAGCCCATTACTTCTTTGCGCAGTCAAAGCACCTGTGAGATCAAGAAACCTGACAAATTAGTGCTACTCATATGTGATATGAACTTTTTGCTATATAACTGTATAAGATAGCGAACAAGGGTTACCCTGAAATTCTCGCTGTTGAAGGATTCTGGGTGCAATGAAACTTTTGCCTTTTTCAGATGAAGATTCAACTTCTTCATTTATCTGAGTTAAAAAATGAAGTAATTAGCAACAAGTTTCACAAACATTTTTCACAAGCATTTTTATAACACATTACATAAGTTGTGATGTAAGGATACAGAACATGTAAGTTAAAGCAACACTATGTAATTGTGGTTTTTCATGAAAACCAGCAAGGATGTAATGATAATGTGCTTGGAGAATTGCTTGCAAATAATTCCTTTCTGTATACACCTCTGAAGTCACTCAACATACACTTGGTAAACCTGAAAGCTAGATAATTCAATAGAGCAGGAAGCTATGGTTCTTTCTGATTTCAAACTTCCAGCCAGTTTAGTCTACTTTGATAATCAATCAACTGGCTTTGCAACTATAATGGAGACCTCTCTTGGGCAATGTCCAAGTTGGCAAAGTTAGTGGTAACAGATGGTTATCACAGCTCCATTCCAAGTTGGCAAAATTAGTGTTTTGAACTATAGTTGTCTGTCTCATTCTTCCACAACCGACCACTCATCTGACCGGGAAAGAAATGTCATATATACAATTCCATCACAAGTGGTTATGGTATTGAGAGAGAGAAACTCTTTTACCAAAAAAGAGGGACAGTAACTACTTGACCAAATTCCACAAATAACCTATGCAAACTTAAACAGCATAGAGGAAAATGTTAATCATAAGAACAACTAAAGGAGGTGGCTCAGCTACTTCTCCTCTTTGAAGTCAGAAACTTTTCCAAGTTTTGCCATAAAAGATGCTGGGAAACATGTATCATATCTCTATTAGCAGCTACGAATAAATAAAACCTATTGCTAGTTGTAGACAATAAAATCGCTATTAGAACAAGGAGATTGTCCTAGAAATTCTAAAAACAGAAAAAGAAACCAAAGACACAAACCCGGAATCTATACAGCACAAACACACTCATCATAGAATACTATTCACAGAACCAAAAAAATCCCCTTATTCGAGAAAAATCTCTAAAGCTCTCATAATTCAACAGGAGAAATCTAACACGCAAAATCTGATAATGCAATCAAATCAAGCAAACAAAATTGAACGAAAAAAATTTGCATTGCATCAATGTTTAGCGGACAATACCTCTGGTTGTGTAATTTGCTTGCGGCTTTGTCTAACCGCCATTCTCGCTGGACTTTGAAGCGAGACGGTGGCGTCGTGAGCTGAAGATTCCTTCAAATTGATGGGAAAGGCGGTTTAATCCTGCGAACTTACAAAAATTAAACACACAAAAAAGAGGGGCCCCTCCAGGGAAGTTTGGTAAAATTGCCGATACAGTGCCCTTGATTTTGGGTTTGTTCTATTTTTGTCCGATCATACTCACGAGTCAACGTTTGCCTCGAACTCGAGAACACCGAGTTTGAATTGAACTCGAGCTACTCATTTAATAAAGGGTTAAAAACAAAAAAAACTCTCTGTAGTATATCTAATACACAAAAAAATTTCCTATAGTTTCAAAACATACAAAATAACATCTCATGTTTTGAACTAAATTATAAACTAACAGAATTTGTTAAACTTAACGGAATCCTGTAAACATAACGAAAAACTTAACGGCATCCGATAAATTTAACGGTAAACTTGACGGAATCCGGTAAGTTAAACAATCTTGACCATCATTTTCGTTAACTTTAACAAATTTTGTTAGTTTACAATTTAGTTCAAAATATGAAATGTCGTTTTGTATGTTTTGAAACCACGATGGACTTTTTTGTGTATTAGATATACCACAGGGGACTTTTTTTGTATTAGATATAATAAACAAGCCGAACTTGAGTCATCTACACAAAAGGCTCGTTAGCTCGTTGAGTCATGCAAAATTACATAAATACCCCTATTTATATAAGTAATTATTAACTTAACATTCAGACAACAAGTTCCATTTGAGTCCACACAACTTTAACATTCCTCATCACTCTTCCATGTTTCCCTCAAATCAATGACCAAACCAACCCAACCTTAGGTCCCTAGCCACTACCGCTGCTACTACCACTACTACCACCAATCCACCACACCCACCACTACCACTGCCACCCCTCAATCGAAAATTAGTTCCCTAGTTGTAACCTTCCTCCCTGTTTGTCGACCAAGTTCAAAAGTAATAGCAGCAGCCATTTCGCGAGCTCATCGAGGTAAAGCTAGTAGTAGGCTGCAACTCCAGCAACATTACGGCTCCTCATGTCACTCTTTAGTTAATCGCTGTTGACAGATACTTGCTTTGACCCTCTTAATTTGTTTCAGTTATTTTCGTTATATTTCTTGAAGTGACAAATTAAATTTCAATCCCATTGCTAAATTTGCCATCATATGTATAGAAATGAAATGGTGCCAATTTGGTATAAAGTTTTCTTTTTTTAATCTAGTTATTTTTCATTGATTACACTTTTTTTGCATCGCTAGTTAATACCTTCAAGTATTTTAATCATAGGTAAGCAAGAAATTTGCTTGAATTATTGAATATCTAGTTCAGCCACATAGGTTTAAATTAATATATTGTTTTTGAAATATTATTGGTAGTATAATTTTTGAGTAGCTTTCTATTTCTTTCTTTAGTATGTAATGGGCCCAAAGGAAACAAAAGAGAGAACAAACTAAGTATATGATGTGGTTATCCATAAATAAAAAATTTATGTTTTTTTTTTGGATTTTTTCTAGTCGGTGTTAATGCAAGCAAAACGATTTTTAGCTTTATGTCATTTTTTGGAATATATATATATATATATATATAAGATGAAAAACACCAGATAAGTGCATTGCTGATTTTGATTGAATATTTAGGATGACCACCTTTTTTCCTACTGCAAATTTTGGGTATTTCCAGTCTCCTTTTGGTGAAATTGTATTTTAAATATTCAATAATATTGATTAGTTAGCATTTTACTAGAATAAAACCTTTTGTACTAGTTTGCCTATGCAAATGTATCCTTATATAATTTGTGAAAACCCTGGATCTCAGTTATGATAGTCTACCTTATTGCTTGAAAGAAAAGAAGTTTGACTGCTGATTTAGGGGTTCTCATGTCCTTTCTCCTTTCTCCTTCTTTGATTGGTTAGTCTTCCTTTGTGTATAGGTAAAGGCACAAGCACAATATGGCCATGTCTCCCCAAGATGTGTCTTCACAATTAGTTAAATCAACTGGTGATTGTGCTGGGATTAACAATGAGGAAGAGTTGGAATATTCTATTGGAGATGAAGAACTAAGGAGTGAAGAAAAGAGGTTAGAAGGTGATATATAAGCACCCGCTCAAAGTTTGAATCAAGAGGCTACTCAAGGTGATAGTCTAGATACTTTTAGAAAGAAAAAGAGAGCCAGAAAGTCCAAAACCTGGGTTGATTCAAAGATGTGGAAGTTTAGCCTAAAAAAACACTTTACTCGGTATGTATGAATTGCAGAGCTAAATTCAAGAAGACAAAAATTGGTACAACTTCAAGTTTGTTAGGGAATCTTAAAAATGGTCCTAAACGATTGGAGAAACTAAAAAAATCAGAGGCAAAATAGCAAAATATTAATTTTCCAATTGCAGATTCTAGCTCAATTACTCATTCCTACTTTCATACAGGCAAGTTTGATATGGCTGTCATGAGAGAAAGTGAGACTGAGTGGGTGCTTATGCATGAGCATTCCTTTACAATTGTGAAGGAAGACGGTTTCAACTTCATGATGAAAAAGGGGATGTCCAAATGGCAAAAAAGTAGTTGGACCACTAACAAGAATGATTGCATTTTCGTATACAAAAAAGAGAAGACCAAATTGAAACATTTGTTAAAGAAAGTTAAGAAAATTAGCTTGATCATAGATCTTTGCAAGTCCAAGAACCAGAAGATTTAGTATATGGTTATAATTGGGCGTTGAATTGATATTCATTGGAGATTGCAGAAATGGATCCTTAATTTTTGCATATTCCTCCTCCACGTTCAAGCATCACCATTACAAATGCTATTTTCAAATGCTTAAAGGATTGGAGATTGGAGACCAAAGTTTATATAGTCTCAGTGGACAATGCCTCAAATAATGACACTGCATTAAGATGCTTGAAGGACACCTTCTCCAGAAACAAGTGTCCATTAGCCAAAGAGAAGCTATTCCATGTGAAATGATATGCTCACATACTCAACCTAATGGTTCAAGATGGTCTCAGTGAAATTCAAGAGATGGTTCAAGCCATAAGGGACAACGTGGAGCTTGTAAATAAAACCGAAGGGAGGCTTGATCTTTGTTGAAATTGTGTAACAATTGCAATCACCCAAGAAAGTACTACTTTATGACTGCAAAACAAGGTGGAACTCTACCTATGAGATACTAGATTCTGCTTTCAAGTTCCCAAAAGATGCTCCCAAGATTCAAAGATAGAGAACCAAGTTATGATTTCTGTCCAATCACAGAAGATAAAGAAAAGGTAGAAAGACCGTGCAACATTTTATAAGTTTTCTGGATTGCAACTCATATAATACCAGGGAGTGATTATTCGACAACTAATTTATATCTAAATAAAGTTTTTTTTGGGATAAAAGTACTATTAGATACCAAAGTAGATGATGAAGACTACTTTGTTTGGGTAATGGTTTGGGGGATGAAAGTGAAATTTGACAACCACTGGGGTGAGTGCAATCTATTGATGTCTACAGTAGCCATCTTGGATCGTAGGAGCAAAATAAGAATCATCAACTATTTCTTTTCATTCATATATCTTCCGCATGAAGTGCAACTGAATATAGACAAGTTCTGACAAGCATTGTATAATATATATGCTGACTATGTGGCGATGCATGTTTCAAGTTCAAGTGGTTCTGGAGCGAGCACTCAAGTAGTGATAAATGATCTAGTTAACAAGTGCAGTAGTAGTTCATCTTTTATAGTAACACATATTATGAGTATGAGTGAATTTTTCTCTCACATTGCTACTATAGAAAGTGTGCAAGCATAGAAGAATGAGTTGGACAACATGTCAATGTCATCTTCGCACCCTAATTGCACTCCAACAAATGTACTTAGGCCGTCAGAATTCCTAAGCCATAGATTCAACTTGAAAACATTCCGGTCTAGCCCCATGTAGCTGTATACTCTATCCACCAACTCATCATAACTTATTTGATATTTTACTAATATGGCTTTTTTGCACTTCGGAGGATCATACGCATGATCCTCTGATCTCCACTATTATGCCTCCCTAATAAAATTAAATTATCAATGCAATGTCTATTGATATTTTTTCCTAATCTTATGAATATTTTTAAATCAACTTATATTCCTCGACAATTTGTCATAATTAATAATGCTAACTCAACAAACGTCATAATTATTAATAACATCAGCAATAAAACAATCATGAATTACTATTCATCCCTAATAAGTAAAAATAATTCTGTGTGCCCAGATAATTACAAATGAATAATTAAAGATAAAGTTATCAAATAACTATTATTAATTAAATTATGATTAATGATTCTTCTTTACTATTAATCAAATAATTATTGCTAACTACTTTTAAATACTATTTACAATTAACTTGTAACCACTGAATACTACTCATTATTTGTTATTATTTATTACTCACTAATCATAGTTACTATTAAATAGCTAACTACAACTTATTTCTTTTGACTATTAGTTACTATTACTATTACTTACCAATTACTAGTACTAGTACTATTAATCACCAATTACTACCTCAGTTTACATTTACTACAGTTATTTGCTATTTACTATTAATATTTAATTTTTACTATTACTATTACTATTACTATTTGATTTTTATTATTTAATAGTACTATTACTCATACTATTTATTATTAGTTCATTAGTATTACAATTAACTATTACTATTAATATATACAATTACTATTTACTATTTACTGTTACTATTTATTATTTATTATTTACTATGTATTATTTGCTATTTACTATTTACTATATACAGTTACTGTTACTATTACTATTTGCTATTTACTATTTACTATTTTTTATTTACCATATAAATCCACTATTTCAATCAAACCTAGCATACCTCCAAAGCATAACATTCATTAAAAAGAAAACACAAACAAACCAGAAATTTAACCAAGCAAATGAAACCACAGGAAAAACACCAATTAGGCATTTAACCAGAAAAACACAAATTAGAAAAACACAACAACAAAAACAAAAATTAGACATTTAACCAGTACCTAAAAATCAAACTAGTTGTTCGTCTACTTAGGACTAGTAAGCAATCAACTATCCTGAAGTCAATGACCACCAAATCCAATAAAAAAAATTTAATGCTATTAATTACTCAAAACTTACAATATTTGCTAATATTATAAAACAATTAGTAATAAAACAATTAAAGAAACGTACCTTACACCTTACCTTATAATGACAGCGGTTCTGTACTTCTTCAACTACCTTTTTTCTGATCTATCACATTTTTTGTCTACCTAGGACCTGGAATGACAATGCCGATAAACAGACTTTGACAGTGGCTTTGCGAATATACTTGCCACCGAATCTGCTCTCGAAACTATCCTTGCCGATGCCACTCGTTTTAGAAGACAAAGAAAAAGATAGGGGGATTTGGGGTTGTGCAAGAGAGAAATAGGCTGAAGTTTTAGCTGAAGTTGAGGTTGTGCGAGAGAGAATACACTCGTTTTGGATAAAGTTGAGCTATTTTTATAGCAAAACTTCAGTAGCAACTTAAGTTGTATCGACATTATCGAACAAAAAAGCAAAACTACTTTGATTGCAAAATTTTTTGACTGAAGCCTAGATCAACGGTCTAGAGTTGCGGCATTTAAAAAAAATTCCATTGCTAAAAATTTAATTTGTAGTGAAGGAATATAAAAATTGGCACCTCATAAAGCGTTGATAAACATTGATCAATGGTCTAGAGCTTTTGCAGCAAATTTAATGTGCGGCTTCTAAAAACAATTTAAATCAACTGCAAATTGATGAAAATTTGAATTTGCGATTGTTAAATTTTTTTTCAGCCATTGATCAAACGGTCTAGCACTTTTGCCACAAATTTAATGTGCTGCTTTAAAAAAATTTAAATCAGTCTTCGTCGCAAATTTTATGTGCGACTTTAAAAAAAAATTTAAATCAGCCTTCGTTGCAAATTTTATGTATAGCAGTAGAATAAAAATTTTTTCACAACTTTAAATCATGACCGTTGATCAATGGTCCAGCAACTTTCGCCACATATTGGATCTGACGGTCCAACAGTTTTCGCCGCATATTGGATCTGCGACTAAAATAAAATATGCAGTCGAAAATCTTAACTTAAATCTTGAGCTACTGAAAAATTTCCAAAAATAAATCAAATGTTTTGTGCGCCGATTTTGTCAATTGAGACGACCCTTATTTTGGAAACAAATCTCACACAACATTACATTTATGATGTTTTTGTCTATCAATAATATATCAAGAAATTCGCCATGGATACGACTAGTGATATGATAAATGATGAAAAGACACACCATCGTCAACCTTAGCCATAGGTATGGATTGAGATGAATGGTGGATGAGAGTGTGATATGTTAGGATCTAAGCGCGGAATACACGATTATTGAGATATCAAATATATAATAATTTAATGACAAAAAAGCCACATAAAAGATAAATGACACACAATATTTAACGTAGTTCGGTTCCATAAGAGAAACCTGTTCTTTAGTATTAGAAAAAAATCTTATATAAGAATACAATTTGAATCCAAACCCAACCCTTATATACCATCTCCTATCTCCCAAGAATCCTTTCTCACCCCATGTATAAGGTTACATGTCGCCCTTTGTCTACTCTTGTGTGTACTTGTGTAGTATGCCAACCCCCTATTTATGTATAATATTATTTGGCCAAAAATCAAATAACAATAAGAAATCAGTACTAATTCCTAAACTTATACAGAATAGGAAATAACTTCTAAATTCTAAACAAAATAAGAAATTTCTTGGCTACTATTTCAAGTAACTAAAACCAATTATAAACTAGTTACTTCCACACAAATTAAGAAACCTCTCTAAAAGAAATTAAGTCAATTTCTTAACAAATCTCCACTTTGGTAAATATTTCTTTTAACAACCATTTGTTTTCAACTATCAAATAATATGGTACCAAACTATACATTCGAATCACTATAGTCCTGACACCTAATTGATTCAATCGACAAATGAATATGTGTAGTTACTCCGAATCCAACCTCTAGTTGACTCGCGAAAAGGTATCTCAATTCACCATCTCCCTTTGTAGGATTTCTTCTCATCATTACTTGCAATTCGGGATTCCCTTCTGTGAGTTATATTTCTAACCATTGAGGCAACTAAGTAGTAAAATCACTATACTTCTTTCCATTCTCAGGACTGTCTCGCCATGTGTAATTTCCAAAATTCTACTTGCAATGTAAAACTCGTTGCCATCAGAGTTTTCTGACATCAGAGTTTTCTGACATTTAGAAATTAGATTCTTTTGTTTCTTTAGGACATATGCCATACCACTTAAAGAACATAATTCAAATCTAACAACCATCTAAGATGAAGTAACAACCGTT